CCCCGAAACTCAGCCCTGATAACTTGTTCAAAAAAAAAAACATTTTAATTTTCACATTTATTTAATAAATTTAAAGTGTATAGTCCAAAGTTTCCTTTAAGAACACTTCTTGGTATTTTAATTTTATTTTTTTTTAATATTTTATATATTTATAAACTAATAAACATAGAGGGCATTTAATCTTAAAAGGCCTAATAACATTTATCATTGATTAGATGCATTTTCTGAACGTATTTCGAACCTATCCATGTTAAAATGTTTAAACAAAAAATGATTGATATAGAGCAACATTGTCAAAATAAACATACTGGAAAAATATTCTATTTTCTAAATTTTTTTTTTTTCGGTATGTCTAAAAAATTTATTTTTACCACAACACCGTAAGAATTCCAGGGGTATGTTAGAGAAATTACGTGTCTTACAACCAATCCAATAGAAAAATGGAGAAGGTAAGAGTAATCGAAAGAAAATGAAAAGGAATCGCAGAGAAATTTCTTCGGGGCAACCGCAAAGACTGTAACACCTGCTTCAAGATTGAGAAAGAGGAGAAATTTTCCATGGAGACAGGTTGAGGGATTCTAGTTCTTCAGCCTCCATCGTTTTGAAACAACAATTTGGATCATCTTTTTCTGTTTACTTTTTTTTTTTTGGTCGTCGTCGTCGTCGTCATCAATGGCTGACCAATCGGAGTCGTCGCCTCTCATGGCTCCACCGCCGATCGTGGACGCCAGCGAGATCGACCTCGAGGCTGGTCCCGCCGACCAAATTCAGTGTAGAATTTGCCTCGAAACTGACGGTACTTGACTCCCATTTCCTTTTGTGTTCTCTCCCTCTTTTAAGGTTTTACTGTTTGTTATCAATTCTGCGCTTGTTTCGCCTCATGCAATAAAGTTCGTATCTTGGTAGCTGCAGAAATTATGAGGAATTAGATAAATTATAAAGTCTTCATCTTTTTAAGCCTTACATCTTCTTGTGGAGAAATGGTATTAATTCAGTGTGAAGTCTTGACAAATTTACTTTCAGTTTGGGGGTTCTTTGCGGATTGATGTTGTGTGGTATTGGTTTAGTTTGACACCTGTTTATTTGGTAAATCGAACTCGAGAATCATGATAAATTTAGAATATTTTCAGGAATTTCTCAACGTTATGTGTGTGTATAAAAAATGAAATGGAAACTTCTTGTTCTTCATCGAGTTAGTTGCCTAGCGAGTGGTGGTACCTTGGCTGCTACTCACTACACACTGATGTTTAAGCCTAGGAAACTCATTTTTTATGTCTACTTGAAATTATGCGGTTTTACTTTTCAAACTGCCAAGTACACTTCTGGAAAGGTCATGGTTATTAAACAATGTCCATGCTTTAATCAGGTAGAGATTTTATTGCTCCTTGCAAATGCAAAGGTACCTCGAAGTATGTGCATCGGGAATGTTTAGATCATTGGCGAGCTGTAAGGGTATGGATTCCATTATCTTTTCATTCTTCTAAGCTTACAAATACAATTTTGATGGAGTGTATTATACTTGTACCATGGTTTTCCCTCTTAGCTGGGGATCACATGGAAAGCTACTATGTGTTGGGCATCCTCCAACTTCAAATGTAGGTTTTAATGAATTTTCTGATTCAAGTTGTAAAGGTTTCATACTATATTCACTTAAGAATTTGATGTTATCCTTCTGATGTCTATAAAATAAACAAACATCTCAAACATGTAATGTATATAAAACCGTGTTCTAATTCACTAACTAAGTAAAGGAGGTGGATTACATCAGTGTTATTGTCTGCAGCACTAAAATTAGTGCAATTTCACCTCCAATGCCTATTATAGTTGGACAATAATCTCTAAAATATGGTTGCAATCCTTGTTAAACAAAAAAATTATGTAATGGAAATGAAGAAAAGAGAGAGTTAGTAAGAGGGGATATTTTTGCTTCCTTTCTTATATTTTAGAAGGCTTGGTATTTTCAGCCCACAGGGAAACTTGATCCTCTGCCATAAACACAGCTCTTTTCTTATTTTTGCTTCTTTGCCATAAACATAGCTACCTTTGGAGGTGATTCTGATTCTGCATTACATTTCATGGTATAAGAATGGCCAACATTAGGAACAAAACGAAAATATGATCCTCTGCCATGAAGGAGTTGGTTTTAGCTTCTTTCTCTTAGATGTAGTTAATTTGACATGCATATATATGTCTCATTGCCACTGAGGCATTATTCCACTTTTGCAGGAAGGGTTCGCTTTTGCTCATTGTACAACTTGCAAAGCCCCATACCATTTGAGAGTTCAAGGTGCTGCCGACAGGAAGTGGCGAACCCTTAAATTTCGATTCTTTGTGACCAGAGATATTCTCTCAATATTTATGGCTGTTCAGCTTGTAAGTTGATGGTTCCCCTCTCATGGTTGTTGGTGCAATTTTAGTTAGCTTCATGAACTGTAAATATGTTCTCAAGTGCTATAATTTCTATTTCATTATGTTTATTATCTTCAGGTCATCGCTTCACTGGCATATTTGGTGTATTTAATTGATGGTTACCATAACTCATGGCTCCGCCTAACTTGGGGTTTTGATAATGTGCTCAGTTTCTATTACATATGCGGTAAACTCCCAAGTACCCTAACTTATGTCTTGAAAGTTTCTTCAATATGCATGTTTCTTATGAGTGGTTTGTTTTGCTCTTAAATTATACTGGTGCAGCCAATGTTTGCTAGCAACTACTTGATAAACCTCCGTACTGCTTATTTTGTTTTCTGTAAGAATGTGGCACAATTACTTAATTAGTATTCTTAGATAAATGTTTTGAAGAGTAGTGCTATATCCTTATGAAATATTGGATAAATATCTTAGTCCTAACTCCCAAGTGTCCAAGTTTCAAAATCAATATAGATATTTAAATGGGACTGCAGATTATAACCATATGAATTGAAAAACCTTTCTTCTTACTTTAAAGTTATTGTTTTTTATACAAGAATTGTTATATCTTTTAGATCATGAATGGTTGACCTCTAGCATCAAAATCTCTGTTGGCAGGCAAATCCACTCCTGCTGATTAGCTGTTTATTGAAAAAACCTTTTAGTTTCACTTAGTGGTTATAACTTAATCCACATATAATTTCTAATGCAATATAAGAAATCATTTACTATTGCCATGTTAGAGCATTAAAGGCTTCCAATGCCAAGCAATAGATTCCATTTTCTGATCTATACTGCTGAAAAGATTGGATTTCAGTATGTAAGAAGAAGTGGAATTTTCAAATTTAGGGAGTCTAATTAATATCTGTTAGTGTTAGGCTTTAGTGCAAAGGAGTGGAGAAGGCATGGTTTATGTCTCAGTTTCAAATATTTATGATGCTTGGTGATTATATTTATGTATACAAAAGAAGGGAAGAAAACCTTAAGTTGCATGCTTCTTTCTTCTGTGCTGGTATCAAGTTTTCTTCATCAAAATTGGAGCCGATTTCCATTTCTGGCCAATTTGCATTAAATGGCAACATCCTTTTCCTGCCAGGGAACTAAAGATGTTCCAGAATGGATCTGCCTATGAATTGGTTTTATGGATGATATGGTATCTGCCTTATACCATGGACTATAGGCTGACTGGGGTGCCTCAAATCTTTTATCGGAGGAATAACCGTAACAAGCTGTCACTATTTGTTTACCTTCCCTCTGACTCTTCATTTTGGTCTTTTGCATGACATCTACTTGTTTTAGGAAAGCAGCTAAATTGGAAAATATTTGATCCCAATATCCATGTCTTATGTAACATTAAATACAACTCATCATACATTCATAACCGGTTTACATAATTTTTGCTACAACAATTTTGCAAAAGCTTCAGCTAAGAGATATATAAATAGATGTCCTTGCAAACCATGCTATTAAAAAACTGGAGGGCAACGGTTTATTTTTACCTTCCCCCTAAATTTCTTCTTTTCTGTGGAGGAAATGATTAGCATCTTATTAGAAACTTCACATTTAGCTTCTTTCAAATCTAATAGTCCTTGCAAATTTGTTACTACCTCCATTTTGGTGGGTCTATTTCCATCTATAATTCACATTTAGACAATGTTGAATACAGGAGCGCTATTATTTTTTGCTTTACTGGGGTTATCTGGATGCTTCATTACTTGTTATGATAGAAGAGTGCGCAATGATTTGGCTCAACCTTGTCGAGAGTTATGTCTGTGTTGCTGTCATCCTGGGTATGATTCTACTTTTTGTTTTTTGCAATCTTTTACATGGTTGATTGAAGTTAGATGAATCCTATTCTCCATTTGCTGTATTAGCTCTAGTATGTCTGCTAAATCAGTCAATTTCAATCTTATGATTATAATCATTATATTGTTCTCTTACAGAAGACTTGATTTAAATTCCATCATCAAAACAGCTTAACTGCTGAGATTTAATGTCTCTTTGTTTTCCTCTCCATTTTTATATGTCTATGCACACACACAACTGAGAAAGAGAGAACTGTAACAAACAAAACATGGAAACATGCAGACTGTACACGTGTGAAACACAATCTAAGTTGCAGTTTGCCTAAAATTAATAACAATATGCATCATCCCCAATTTCCCCTCAATTGTATTATAGGAGATCTGTGACAAAATTTGCATTTAATGGTCCATGTTGTGTTCAATCTTCTTAATTAGTCACTCAATGCATCATGCTATTTATTTACTCCATTCAGAGATATTTTGAATGGACTTTTTTAATATAAAGGCCTAAATGGTTTATACTTGAAATGGTCAATTTTCACATATTTGAAGACTTAAAAAATATTTTACTATTTCCATATTTAGTTTTTGGTTTACTAATTTGACAAATAAATCAATTTTCCTTAGAATCTTGCAGTCCATAATGTCTTAAATTGACTTTCTCTCCCATGGAGAACTCCATTCATAACGTTTTCACTAGCTGTTATTAAATTTATCCTTCTCTGCACATGAAGGGGAAAAAACACTGCTCTTAGAGATTTTTTTGTTGTAGAATGTGTGCGGACTGCCATTTACCTGGCACTCTTTGTATGTGGACTGACTGTGCTACATGCTTTGAGAGCTGTGCTAGTGCTGCTGGTGAATGCGGTTGCATAGGAGGTGCTGGCGAAGCAGGGTTACCATTATTGTTCATAATGGCATTAATTGTGCTTGGACTATTTACGTTGATTGGCATATTCTATAGTGTTTTGGTGGCTACAATGGTTGGACAACGGATCTGGCAGCGGCACTATCACATACTTGCAAAAAGAATGCTGACAAAAGTGAGTTATGTTTATTTATCATCAAATTTCTGTTCCCAGGCAATGCAGCATCATTAATTACCTTGTCTTTCTGAATTAAGCCAAGCAGGTCCAACTGGATCAATTAGGTAGTACTAGTAACTGCTTGCTGCTAGGCCATAGATGACTAAACTCCCCTAGAAAAGGCCTCAAAGGATATTAAGAAATACTTTTGACTTCATCTCCAGCTTCTTTATCTGATTAAGGCTCTGTTTGGTTGCCCTGGGCAGCCCAGAAGGCTTTTCCCTGATTGTTGTTGCCTGGACTGTTGCAGCCCACCACCCACAGACTCTGGTTCCAGGACATTTGTCAACTATTGCCAGGCAAAAAACCCAAGTAGAAACTAGAAAAGCTTCCTAGGAAAGTTGGGAGGTTAGTTAACTAATGTCTCAACATAAGTTTCCAAGATCTGTAGCAGGCAGCAACATTTCATGACCTGACTTTCTTGCATCCAGCAACCAAACAGAGCCTAATGGTTCACTAGCATAAGCAGTTTCTGGGACAGGATAGACAAAGAAGCATGCCTGTCAATTTGGATGTCGGGCTAAAGTATTTGAATTAGACATAACCAGCGGAGACAATAAATGTCTCTGGGCCCGACAAGGTTGCTCATGTGTTTTAGGTTGTCTGCTTTGGTTTGTCTGGTTTACAAATACATCTTAAAGCTGCTGGTCTTCAGGTCATTTTTATCATGTCTCAAAGGCTTTGATTAGTAGGTTGTGGGACCATTTATCTTTCTATTAATTTACTTAAAATTAATCTCTCCCATCAGGAATATGTTGTTGAGGATGTTGATGGCGAGATGTCTGGAACTGATTGGTCTCCTCCGCCTCTCCCACCTGAGCATGTCCAGCAGCTGAAATCACTAGGCCTTCTGTGAGTTCCCCTACTTTGCCAACAACAGCATAATGTAAAGTTTAGCTGGCACCATATCTTGTTAAGTTGGTGATCGATCTCATCACTATAATATGAGCTCATGAATACACTTACCACTAGAAAAAAAAAAAAATGAAGAGAACTTATATATTGTTCAGTTACATTAATGTTACTTGTAACTGTGAATGATCATGGGATACTCCCTTGATTTTTTTTTTTTTTTCTTTTCAAACTTTCATGATTCCCGTAACTGTTGCAATTCGATTTGCTTGTTTACTATGAGGAAACAATGAAACTAATGACAAGTATTTCAATGAGATTGTATTAAAAATTAAATGTATCCATACATTTGCTGATAATCTGTTTTTTTTTTTTACTCATTTCATTGTTCTTAAACCTTGGAAATTAGGTGGAAGAGGGTAATTTTCCGACTTCTTGGAGAAGTTGAGTTGAGCTCTCAACCTAGATATCTCATCTTTAGTCATGTTTATATTTTCAGACATTGTTGACATCTTATATATTGGCTCTACAGAACGAGATTTCTTATTACCTTTTTTCTCATTGATTTTAAGAATCAAACTCGAAATTTTCATTTTATTATTTTCTACATTTGATGAATGTGCGACAACAAAATAGATAATTCTCTCATTTTTCGAAACTCCCTCAACCAATCTCCAAGTTTGATTTATGGAGATTTCTCGGACTCACCAGATGTGAGTCGAGACATGCTATTATTAAACATTCTGCTTTCTCTTTTTTAAGTCAAAGACGTTTTGGTTTTGGATACATTGTGTGATGTGTTTTACAATCCAAGGGGCAGTTTCTAAGGATGTGTCAAATCGCAGGGCACCAACCAGGTGGATGCCACATATCCATGTCTTTAGATGGACAAACACTTCACAATAAGAAACTTTTTTGTGCTAGTTAAATTCATTAGATTCGGTGCAATGAACATGCACAAAATATCCAGATCTCTTCGGATAAAATTTCCTATTTCATGACGATATATCGACTTAAAAAATATTTTTGATATAAATTAATTAAAAAATTATACTAAATATATTCTTAATCTTAAAATCACAAATTTAAAAATTTGATAATAAAAAAAAAAACTGTATAACTTAAATATTAAATGAGGGTAAATTTCTTAATATTAAAATTTATTTTTTTGATTAATAGTTCTAATTCTACCATTTGAAAACTGTAAACAGGAACACATAAAATAATAATGCAAAAAAAAAAAAAAGAGAGAGAGAGAGAGAGAAAGATTGAAAAATTATGATCAATTCGAATAGGTCACAATTTTAGGTTGTTCAGCAGTTTGCACCAATCGTCTAGAAGATCTTGCAACTAGTTCAAACAAGAAGTCTTGCAACTAGTTCAAACAGAAAGTCTTGCAACTAGTTCAAACTTTCTCACTTTCCTAGGCAACTAAGTCGAAGGCCACTTGACCATGTCCCAACCAGAACCCAAAAGAAATGTAAAAAGCACGTAATCTTTTACGTAGTGCACCTGGGAGACGGTGGGCGGCCGCCGACTTCAGTCGGCAGTTTTCAACTTCCGTGGGGTGGTTTAGTCACTCGGAATCTGAGGTCAGAAAACCACTGCCGTTGTTTCAGTACCAAAATGCCCCTGCCTTTTTCCCCACCCTTGCAAGTTACAACGTTATCCTTCACCCCACTCACCGACCCCCTATAATTGACAGTTTCCCAATTTCGTGTTTTTTTAGTGTTTTGATTTATTAAAAATAGTTATTAGTTATTAACTTTAATTAAATAAATTAAATATTTTAAATTATAAATATTAATAAATATTAATAAATAGATATTAATTATTAATTATCAATTATTTTTAAAAAATTAATTCAAACATCCTTATAGTATTCTTTTAGCTGAGAATGTGAGTTTTTTATTTAAATTGCATAATTTGTGATTTACATTGGATTTTTTTTTTAGTAAGGGTGAGTTTAGTTGGAGGGAATTTTTTACTTTAATTTTTCTCTTTACAATGTTATTTACATAATTTTATATTTTAATATTACATAATAGAGAATAAAATTGATATTTTTTATTTTTTATGCAATTTTTAACAAGCAAACTTTTTTTTCTAACACTTCTTTTAAAGAAGTTTTCCTCACAACTCTTTCTACGTGAGACCCTTCTCACTTGACAACTTTCTTTAAATCAATTTATTACCAAATGCAAAAAAATTAGCAAACTAATACAATTTCAATAAAATTTTAATTATAAAACTTATCAGTATTTTATACATTACTTTTTCAACTTTTCGATAGTATTTTTTCAACAACTTTTATACTTTTGGATAGTATTTTTCCAACAACTTTTTTTTAGTAAGAACTCTATCATTAAAGCTTGTATCTAACTCAATAGGCTCTAAAAGTATTTTAAATGAGATTGTGAAAAATCAAAAGATTTTAATAATTAAAATGTTACAAATAATCATAAAAAGCCTTAAATAATTTTAATAAATTAATACATAAAAAATTTATTAAAAATATTTAAATAATTTTACAAA